ATCTCCAGCTGCTGCAGGCCCCAGTGCTGCCAGTCTGTGTGCTGCCAGCCCAGCTGCTGCCGCCCCAGCTGCTGCCAGACCACCTGCTGCAGGACTACCTGCTGCCGCCCTAGCTGCTGCATCTCCAGCTGCTGTAGGCCCCAATGCTGCCAGCCCACCTGCTGCCACCCCAGCTGTTGCATCTCCAGTTGCTGCAGGCCTTCCTGCTGTATCTCCAGTTGCTGCCGCCCCACCTGCTGCCAGACCACCTGCTATAGAACAACCTGCTGCCTCCCCAGCTGCTCTGGCAGTTCTTGCTGCTGAGTGTCCTGCTCTGGATCCACGAAACTTCTTGCCCCTTCCTTGGTCCAGGCAGAGAGCATCTATTCCCAGAATATGTGGACTTCCTGAAGTTATGGACTTATCAACAGAACCATGGCCTGATTTGGAAAACCCCAGTCTCTATGCTATTATTTACTCTCTTCTATAGATACATTTAATTATTAGTCGATCAGCATTTGCAGTCAGATTCTGCATCAAATTGCTTTAGAATTCCTAATTCTGATTCAAAACATAGGAGTCTTCAAATGTACCCCTTCCAGATTTTTTCTTTATAACATTTTTCTGTGGAATCCATTTCCATGTGGAATTGCTTCATGTTCCTCAATAAAACTTCTTAGCATTCAAAGGCACCAAAATAGCTCATCTCTCATTATTTCTTACTAATGAAATGGTCTATGCATATTTCTGTCTTTTTCTGCACAATACCAAAGTACATATTATCAGGGGACCATGAAATTGAAAAATTAAATTGTCATTCTTCAATGTGATTTTTATCAAAACCCGAATTCTACTTCATAGCAGAAATAGGAAAATGTCTGAAGAGAGGCATCATTGAACCTAACACCTGTAACATGAGAGCTATAGATTGCAACTGCCACTTGTTTAACCGCCAATTGTTTTTTAAGTGCTCAATAAATTATATTCCCTGAATTGATTTAAACCTATTTAAATAGAGGAAGCTTGGTGTAGAGTATAGAACATCGACTTGGGAATTAGACAGAGTCCAGGCTGAATTCTGACTGTGCCGCCCACCAGCTGTGATCATGGACACGTCACTTAAACTCTCTCAACCTAGGATGGATTTGCACTAAAGAAAGGATCACAATATCGACCTGTTAAGGTCATAAAAGTTCAGTGAGACAAAAGGGCCTGGTAGACAAATAAAAGCATGCTCCGTTTTACCTTCAATTAGCCTTAGTTTTTTTTCTTCTTATTTTGAACTTATTATAGATTAACAGAAAGTTGAAAAAAAATATGACAAAGTCCCAAGTACCCTTCACTCAGTTTCCTCCAATGGTTAAAGCTTACATAACTATAATTCATGTCAAATCCCAGAAATTGACATTGGTACAATCCATAGAATTTGTTCAGATTTTACCAATTTTGTTTTTTTATTATTTCAGCAAATTATGGGTGTACATATGTTTAGGTTACGTGTGTTGCCCTTGGTTCCCCCCCCCACCGAAGTCCGTGTTTCAAATATGTCCATCCTTCGGGTAGTGC